TTTCAGCTACATGGCAGGTCAGTTACAGGGTTCAAACACTATCACATTAAAGAGACAGAGAATAAAGGCTCAGATAGCATACTGAAAGTGCATGGATCCATGGCTCTTCTTGTCATTATTCTTCTCCATAGGAACTCCAGTGAAACATTTCCACTTTGTCTCACAAGATTCCTAACATAGAATATACCAACTTCCTCTATTGTTTTCAGAATTGCTTTGCAACAAGCTAAACTCACTGGGCCATTTCTCTGCTGAAAAAGCCTCTGCATTCCTGTTCCCTTTGGACTTGACATTGATGCCACACTGGGCATTCACTCAAAATGGAATTAACCTCTTACAACTGGAATCATAAGCACCACACGTTGTTGCTTCTGATGCATTGGTGCCCTGTGTGCCCTGTCTGAGGGCTTGTCTCTCCTCACACACACACAACCTTTTGTTTTTCAAGACCCGACTTCTCAGGGTGTTCTCAAGTCAAAATCAAGTCTTCACCCGAGCTACTGAGCACTCTATTAACAGCATTAACCAAGCAGGGCTGGAAATTCCAGAGATGTAATTACTTACTCTAGGGAAAGATCCACTTTTGAATAAAAATCAAATCCAGTGGTGGTCAGTGGTGTCTCACGTCTTTAATCCCTGCACTCTGGAGGCAGAGGCAGGCAGATTTCTGTGAGTTCGAGGCCAACCTGATCTACAAAGCTACACAGAGAAACCCTGTGTTGAAAAAAATAAGTCAAATCCAGTGCTCTGTGCTATGTCTGATACATTGTAGACACCTGTTATGTATTATGGGATAGTCAAATGTAATACTCTTATAATTAACACACTTAACTTTTTCCCCTTTCTCTTTTCTGGTCTTTTTTCCCCTGGAAGTCACATGTATCCCACAATAGCCTCAAACTCACAATGTAGCCAAAGATAATCTCCAGCTTTGATTTTCCTCCTGAGTGATGTGGTTTGAGGATTGAACCCAGGGCTTCTGCATACTAACCCAGTCCTTCAGCAGCTAAGCTACTTCCCCAGCCCTACTTAACTTATTTTAATCCTATTAGCATAATATGTAATTTTAATGATCGAATACAAGAGGCTATTTTTATTAGGAATCATAAGGCTTATTACACCTCTGCAAGATTCGCCCATCCATACCTTTTTAAAAGGCTAAAGTGGACACATGGCTCATATTTTAAGAACAAGGTAATTACATAGATCATGATAATGACCCATGGATATCTGTAAATCCGTTGCAGCTTGATAATTACATTCCACGGAGAGTTGAGATTTGAGTGTCCCTGTTTCTTTCTGTAGAAGCTACAATTTAGAGTCAGCTTTAAAACCTGCAATGAAAGGACCTCCACCGGGTCATAAAGGCTGGGACTCTCAAGTCCCTGTAGCTTTCATCTCTCATTGGACTCTCTTTTTATGTGGCAAGAACAATCAATTAAACATTTTAATCAGTACACTGTTGCTTTTTCCACATTCTCACGATCTGAAACCTGGACAACTGTCATCATAGCTGAGAGAGAGAGAGAGAGAGAAAGAGAGAGAGAGATGCCTGATCCATTCACCAGACTTGGCTCCAAACAACACTTCACTTAGAATAATTTGCTGTAGGTTTTGAAGTCAATAGCAAATTCGCCATTGGGAAAAGGCTTCATGCATATGCAGTGTTGTTGAAGGCGGTCCGGTCAGCTCACTGCTTCCTAGGGCTGCCCCAAAGTTCTGCTGGCACACTTATTAATTACACTTAATTATAATCATTAGGTAATTCTCTCCTAGTGAGGCCTGGCCCTTATCTGTCAGGACATTTATTGTATTTTTTTCCTGTATTATAAATGCCTTTATATATCTATTGTCCAGATTATAACCGACCTTTAATACATGTTTGTCAAGGAGACAGTATTCATTTGGATAAATATATGTTCTGAACCTTAATGAAGGAGTATGGACACTGCACTCTCTGAGGCTATTCTTGGTTCTTGCCCACTTCGAAGAGTATCCCTTTCAAAGTCCCTCGGTTCTATGAAACCAGGCTCCATTTAAGTTTAAGATGCATGAAATTTAAATCAAAGGAATAAAGTTTAAAATAAAAGTGAGATAGTTTTGACATCAGACTACTGTGGGTGGGAGCTGAGAGAAAAGCACTTTCTTGCAGAGCTCATGATGGGAGAAACTGAAGAAAACACTTCCGAGTTACATTTCCAGATCTTTAAAATGTGTTCACTCCTAGGCCAGAAGTCACTTCCATCCTTTGTTCTCTGGAAAGGCAAAGGTCTCCAAATATAGACACAAGGATATTAAACCTATGCACATTACAGTAGATTAAAAAGTCTATTATATCAAAATTGGTGAAGTACAAACAGTAATCATCATAGAGCAATATACAGCCCCAAATGATAATAATTTTAAAATACTGGGAAAGAAAAGATTTCATATGATAGACTGTGGTTGGTCTTAGTTGTCAAGTTGACAGGATCTGGGATACCCAGAAGGCATGCCTCCAGGCATACTTATGTGGGATTACCGAAATTAGGTTAGCCTATAGACACATGTCTTAGGGTTTTATTGCTATGAAGAGACACGATGACCATGTTGAGTCTTATAGAGGAAAACACTGACTTGGGGCTGGCTTGCACTTTAGAGGTTTGGTTCATTATCATCATTGCAGGAAGCAGCCAGCATGCAGGCAGATGTGATGCTAGAATGATAGCTGAGAGTTCTACATCCGCATCCGCAGGCAGCAGGAAGAGAGAAAGACACTGGGTCTGGCTTGAACATCTGAAATCTCCAAGTGACACACTTCCTCTAACAAGGCCACACCTTCTAATAGTGCCATAGCCTATGAGCTTATGGGGGACATTTTCATTCAAACCACCACAGCATACCTCTGGAAGTTTATCTTGAATCTGTGAATGAAGGTGGGAAGACCCCACGCCTTAGTTTGCTTTCTGTTGCTATGATAAACATCTTGACCAAGCACCTTGCAGAGGAAAGGGTCTATTTCATCTTGTAGCTTACAGTCTATCCTGAAAGGAAGTCAGGGCAGGAACCTGGAGGCGGGACCTAAGCAGAACCACAGAGGAACATTACTTACTGACTTGCTCCCCATGGCTTGTTCAGCCCAGGGCTGAAATAAGCCTCTTCTCCCTTAAGTTGCTTTCAATGGAGTATTTTTTTAATCACAGAAAAGAAACAAAATGAAGCGTTTATAAGGTGAACTTCACATTATTGACCAGTTAAGAGCAGAGGCAATACTGAGTACTTTTACAGCGTTTTCCAATGGCCACCTCTCTGTAGTCCCAAAACCATTTTTATTGCTTCCGAGGGACACGTGAACCTTTGGGCAGTTGTGTTCAGTGATGTTCTTCCCAGCTCCTGACTGCCCCACTCCTGATCTTCCTGTGTGTATTTTCTGTGAGTGGAACCATACAGTAAGTGGTCATTGTCTCTAGCTTTATTTTCCCTTAAAAATCTGGAGGGTCACCTACCTTTGGGCCGTAGTTGCCTTCCTTTTATGACTGAAAATATCCCACTGTGTGTTCAGACTGCAATGGGCTTATTGGCTCTTCACTCTATGTAAATACTGGGGTATTGCCCTGAATCATATCAAAATTCATTTATTTTTATTTTATGTACATTGGTAGTATTCTGCCTTCATGTATGTCTATGTGAGGGAGTTGGATCCCCTGGAACAGGAGTTACAGACAGGTGTGAGATGCCATCTGGGTGCTGGGAATTGAACCTAGGTCCTCTGGAAGAGCAGAGGTAGTTAACCATTGAACTATCTCTCTGACCCTCCCCAAATCATTTTAATGATAAGTATTTGACAACAGTTTGAGGATTAGTAACCATAATTTTGGGGTAGAGTGATTGCAGATGACTTATTTTATATTTAGCATATTAAGCCTAATCAGGCTGGATTCCATTTCTTCACATGTAATATGAAGAAAATAAACCTTGCTAAAATTGGATTTTTAAGCAAACTGCTGTAACATGCTTGGAAATATGTGGGTGATTCCTGCTAAGTACTGAATTCATGATTTGTGTGTACGTGTGTGTTCTCATGGGAGCCAGAGGAGCACATTGAATCCCCTGGAGCTGGAGTTACAGGGGTTGTGAGTCATCTGACTTGGGTACTGGAAATGGTGCTGTGGTCCTCTGCAGGAACAGCAGGTTCCTGTAAGGGCTGAACGGTCTCTCCATCTCTCCAGCCTCTTCATGATATTTTAAACCCCCTATTTACATACTTTGGTTACATTTAAAACATTTTCCTTTGATGCATCACATGCTGGTGTTATATAGGTTTTTGTAGTGCATTTTCATGGGACACACTTAACATGTGTGTTCCCATTTACTAATGGTCTTTCTAGCCAGTGCCAGTCAAAGGCTATTAGATTCTGTAGATCTCACTTTGACAAGGTATATCTCTACACAGTATTTCTCCTTCCAAGATTCATTTCAAATAATCCAGGGGCTTACTCTCCTGCTCTCTGCCACAACTCTTCCAGTCTTTGTTTCTGCTTTGATTTGTGTTACAAACACAACAGGCCATTTTGGCCATCTTAGGGGAGTGTAGGGGCCAAGGAAAGATAATGACATCTTATACACAACTAGGAAATTTTTTTTGCTCAGATCCAAACCTTCCCCCCAAATCTTTTCTTCTGAGACAAATCTCTTATGTTATTTTATGCCTATAACTTAAACTTTGCCAAATACGCACATCTTGATGTATTAGAATTGGGGCCGGGGGTTCTCCGGACTGCGCAGTGGTGCCTGTGGGGGGCGGAGTTTGAGAGGCGAGGCCAAGCGCCGCGAGTCAGGGCAGCATCGGTTAGGGGTTCGAGTCCCACCACCAGTGCGCATCCTAGCTCAGGCAGGTGTCATTGGGGGAGGAGGGGCGGAGCATCGGGGGCGTGTCTGGGCTGGGCGTGTCTCCGGGCTCCGCCCCCTCCCGCGTCGGCGGCTGCGGCACCTCCCCGCCCGCGCGCCCTTGCTCCGCGTCCGGCCCGCCTCGCCCCCGCGCGGCCTCTCCGCTTTCTCTCCCGCTTCGCTCCGGCCTCGGCGAGTCTGCAGCGGGGCGCCGGGAAGATGGCGGCGCGGGGAGGCAGCGCGGGGGGCGCGGGCCTGGGGTCCGGACCCTCTGCTGGGACGGCGGGGGAGGCCGCGGAGCCCGCGCTGCGCCCGGGAGAGGTGGCCGCGCTGCACCCCCAGGAGGTGGCCGCGCGGCTGCAGCGGATGCGGCGGGAGCTGAGCAACCGGCGGAAAATCCTGGTGAAAAACCTGCCCCAGGACAGCAGCTCCCAGGTATGGGCACCGAGCCGGGGCTACCGGGCCGGGCTTAGGGACACTGCAACCTGGAGAAGTCCATGCTGGTCCGGGCGCCTGGGAGAGGCAGGGAGAGGAGGAAGGTATGCGCGCCGAGCCCAGAACCCTTTGCCTCCACGAAACACTTCTGCCGCCTGCGAGGGCAGCACGCTGGGAAACTGAGGCTGGGAAAGGCGGAGCCGCTCGTGAAAGGGCAGGGGAAACCGGAGCGGCTGCCGCCACGTCTGGCCGGGACTTGGTGTTCCCTGCAGACCACCGCGGCTGTTGTAGGTGGAGGCGCATGGAGGGGAGCTGGGGAGCTCAGATTTAGGGTACTGGCTTCCGGAGCCTCTCTCGAGAAGGAAGGGGTCCCGCGTAGGGTGTTGGGGACTTGGATTGCCACGGGGGCGGGGTCACCGGAAAGCTGCGAGAGTTCTGCTGCAGGAGCACTTGACCAAGTTTGTATGAAACAACTTTGCTCCGCTTGCTAAGGCCGCAGAGAAACGGAGGTTAACACTGCGCCGGGAGAGTCTTGCAGCCTTCTGCCAAACCAAGTATGGCAGGATTTGTTCTTCAGTGGCTTGCGCGGAGTTTAAACTACTCAGTGTCTTTAATCCAGATTAACTGTTGCTTCTGGATTAGAAAGCCTGGATCGATTTAACTTTTATTTTCTGATTGCAAAAGTTAAAGGCTTTTTGTTAGGAGAGCTGGAGAATTTGGAGGATTTATGTGGTGTTCATATTCATTCATTCATAGTTTCGTCCCCTGTGCCCATTTTCTCTGTCTCTCCCTCCCCCCGCCCCCCCTCCGCCACTTTCTCTTTTCGTTGAGACAGTGTCTCAAGTATCCCAGGCAGGCCTTGAACTCCTCCTGATCCTCCTTCCTCCACCTATTACGTGCTGAGATTTCAGGTGTGCATCACACATTCATATGCAATGTGTGTGTGTGTTTATGTGTTTCTTCCAAGATTTCATGAATGCATACAGCACTCTGCCAACTGAGCTACATCCCCTAAGATGTTATCTTTTACCTTCTTCTTGTGCACATGTATGCATATGCATTTTTTATTTTTATCAAAAACATGAAACAAGTCAGGCATTGGTGGCGCATGCCTTTAATCCCAGCACTCAGGAGGCAGAGGCAGGTGGATCTCTGTGAGTTAGAGGCCAGCATGGGCTACAGATCGAGTTCCAGGACAGGCTGCAAAGCCACACAAAGAAACCCTGTCTGGAAAAACTAACAACAAAATGAGACATTAATATTCTTTAGGTTTCTCACATGTGCAGATGCTTGAACATTCCATATATACCTATTTGACTATGTAAAATAAACGGGATGAATTGCCTTGATAGGTAGGACCACAAAAAGAATTCCATAAATCCTGATAGGGCAGATTTATGAAATCCCTTTTGTGCTCCCTACACAGAGTTGCAAGAGGACTGGCTAGTGACAGTTGTATGCTCTCTGTGACTCATACATAGACTATGACAAATGCCTACCTCATTACTGTTGGTAGACCTTGTTTAGAAACAATAAACATGAGCCTACAACTTCATAATATATAGATGGGGACATCTCATCATTCCACTTAAGATATGCCTCAGTGCCTGCTTTCCTCTGTGAGGTGAGGTTTTGTGTCACCACCTGAAGAATCTCTACAGTGGAAAGGCAGCCTTCCTGCTATGAATTTCGAAGGTCTCCATGGAGCTCAGGAGAGGGCCTTGGGAGAAGCAGATGGCATTTCTACAAAATGCATTAGACAAGTATTGATTCTGATAGACAAGCTAGCAGAAGATGGAGAAATGTCTGGATTTCCTCTGTAGAATGTCAACTATTTCTGTTCTAACATTTCCCTGCATGAGGTCTAAAAATACTTAATGCAAATTCGAGTCAGTTCTGCCTGTTCTTGCTTCGCTGTTATCTTTTGCATTTGTGTTCCCAAAAGAGGTGGAAAATAAACCCCAGGGTCTTAGGAACTGTTTCAGCCTTACCTCTTATCTACGGTGACAGAAGGCTTTTAGAGGCTTGCATCTGTGATTGTTTGGGGGGGCATATTTCTTTTTCCCGTTATAAACTTATGAATACTCTAAGTCTCAGGATTTTCTGTAAAAGTAGCAAGCACAAAAAAAAAAACTGGTTTAAGCTGTCTCAGTGAAATCATCTAAATTCCACTCCCCCCCGACCTGGAGAGATTCACCTAAAAGTCAAAACAGAATTGTCAGTCAGTGGTTAAGCAGAGATTTCCTCTGGCATCCGTCTTTTCTCTAGTAATGGGAATGATACAATGTTTTGATAGTTCTGATAACAGTTTTGAAATCTAAACAGATCAGTGTTAGGTTCATGTGAAGTATGTTGGAACATGCTCTTTGTCCATCCCCCATTTTCACCACAGGCCCTCTCATCCTCCGTGTTTGTATTAACTTTGCCAGTTTTCTGATCATGTTCATAACTAACAATGACTGGCCAATGTTACACAAGTAAGTAAAGTAGTATATTAAAAAAAAAGAAAGAAAATCCAACAGATTTTTTGTTTAATAATGGTTGTTTTTACTTCCAGTAAAATTCTATTTTTGTGTTGTATTTCCATGAACATGTTCAGTATGACCTCTTTTTTTCTTTTGGGCTTTGTCTGTTACTAACTTTCTTTGACAGTGTCTGATTTTCTTTTCCTTAGTGACTATATTGTTTCTTTTCTTTCTTTTTGTTTTTTTTTTTTTCAAGACAGGGTTTCTCTGTAACAGCTCTGGCTGTCCTGGAACTCTGTAGATCAGTTTGGCTTCAAACTCAGAGATCTGTTTGCCCAGTGCTGGGATCAAGGGCGTGCACCACCACCACTGCCTGACTGTACTTTGTTTTCAATTTACCATTCAGAGTTTAACTTTATTATATATATTTTTTTCACCTGAACTGAAACTGTATACTTAACTGTTATAAAATGATTGTGTTTAATTATTAATCGGATCTTTGAAGTACTCTATTTCTAGATGAGTTTGTATTCATTCATTTTAAAATACCAAATTAAGGGCTATCCTAGTTGGCTTCCTGTTACTGTAATTAAAAATCATGGCCAAAAAAAAGGGGGTTATTTAAGTTTATTGTTTATCATCAAGGGAAGCCAGGGTGGGAACTGAGGGCGGGAACCTGGAGGCAGGAACTGAAGCAAAGGCCACAGCCGTGCTGTTAACTGTTCCCAGTGGCTTGCTCAACCTGCTTTCTTTCTTTTCTTTTTTATTTTTCTTTTTGGTTTTTCCAAGACAGGTTTTCTCTGTATTGTTTTGGAGGCTGTCCTGGAACTCATTCTGCAGATCAGGCTGTCCTGGAACTCAGAGATCCACCTGCCTCTGCCTCCCGAGTGCTGGGATTAAAGGTGAGCGCCACCCCCACCCGGCTCAGCCTGCTTTCTTATGGAACTCAGGACCACCTGACCAGCAGTGGCACCGCCCACTCACTGATCAAGAAGATGCCCCACCCACTTGCCCACAGGCCAACGGAGGCAGTTTCTCAATTGATGTTCCCTGTTCCTAGATGAGCCTTGCTTGTGTCAAGTGACAAAAACCTAACCAGCACAAGGGCTAGTTCTCAAGCTGTCAAGTATAGAAAAGCTGTTTGGTACCTGATTAATAGTAACCCGATAGCTTGTTCTAAACATTTTTAAAACATGGCTATTTTATTTAAAAAATGTGTGTACACGTGTGTGAATGTCCGTGTGTGTGTGTGTGTGTGTGTGTGTGTGTGTGTGTGTGTGTGTGTGTGCATTTGTGTATGCAGGTAGAGGCCAGAGGCCAGTATCAGATATCTTCAGGAATGCATGTGATTGTTCATGCATGCTCTCTCACACACACACTAGTTTTTACTTTGGGTATTTGAAACAGGTTCTCTATATGGCCCTGGCTGTCCTGGAACTTGCTGTGGAGATAGAGTTGGCCTCAAACTTGCAGAGATCCTCCTGTCTCTGCCTCCTGAGTGCTGGGATTGAAGACATCTGCCACTACACCCATCATTCTCTCTCTTGTCTTTACAGTCCAACCTTAATTTATTTATCCTCTTTCTCTCTCTCTCTTCCTCCCTTCCTCCCTCCCTCCCTCATCCTTTTCCTCCAAGACAGGGTTTCTCTCTGTAGTCCTAGAACTCACTCTGTAGACCTGGGTGGCCACGAACACAGAGATCCGCCTGCCCCTGCCTCTGACGTACTGGCATTAAGGCATGTGCCACCACACTTGACTTTAATTTTCAGCTTTACTTTTTTGTCTATTTTTGTATTTTATGCATGTGGGGGTTTGCCTACATGTGTGTATGTGCATCATACTTGCCTGATACCCACAGAGCTCCGAGGAGGGGTTAGTTCCCCTGGGACTGGAGTTAGTTACAGATGACTATTAAACTTTGTGTGGGTGCTGGAAACTGAACCCCGGTCCTCTGCAAGAGCAACAAGTGCTCTTACTGGCTTAGCCATCTCTCCACCCATCTCTTCTGAGACAGTCTCTCTCACTGTTCTTGGGCTCACCCATTAGGCTAGGCTGCTGCCACTCCCAGGCCAGCAAGCCCAGTGTCCTCCTGCCTCTACCTCTCCAGCACTGGGATTATAGGAATAGGTCTGATATTTTTACAAAGGTTCCCAGGATTGATCTCAGGCCTTTGCTCACAATGCAAGCACTTTACTGACTGACCTAGTTCCCAGGCCTCTGGGTAATGTCTTTTTAAACACAGCCCTTGAAAATAAAATTTTGATTTTGTATTATGTTTTCAGTGACACCCTACAACTCAGTTTCTGTAATTTAAATATTTGCAGAAAGTATTTTTAAAGAATGAAATATCTTATAGGAACACAAACTATAAAATCTCACCGAACCTAGGGGCACAGGCCTGTAATACCAGCTCCTGGGGATGCTGAATCAGGGGCATTGCAAACAGACTTCCCTGGGCTACAGAGCAAGTTCCAGGTCCAGCTTGGTCAGCTTAGTGAGAGCCTATCTCAAAACTAAAAAGATAGAGGGCTAAAT